GTGTTTCATGAATATGTTCTGCTACACCCTCCCCTCTCTCTCTCTCTCTCTCTCTCTCTCTCTCTTTCTCTCTCTCTCTCATTCTCTCTCTCTCTCTCTCTCTCTGTGTATCTGCCCCTGTCTCTGTCTGTCTCTCTCTCTCTTTCCCTCCCTGTGTTGTCACTTTTCCTCTGTCCCTGTCTGTCTGCCAGTCTCTCCCCCCCCCTCCTTTCATTCTCTCTCTGCCTCTCATCCTCTCTCTTACTCTCATTCTCTCTCCACCTTGTTCTCTCTCCCTCTCACTCCACCTCTATCTATCTCTCTCTCACTCTCTCTCTATCAAGAAGAGCCCGAAGAGGGCGACAACAAGAGGGACTGGAGAGAGACAAGGCTAGAGCGAGAGGAGGCAGGCTGCAGGAAATTTTTAATCCCTTCGCTGATAACGGCGCTGGATTACTATACCATGTGCACACTGCCAATCGGACCCATCGGATCGGAACAGATTTTCCTTCACAACCTACAATTTGGTGTCAATGTTCTTTTCTTTACTCAAACAAACTATAAAAAAAAAGCCAACAGACAAATCGATTCTACCCTCCACCTTGGAAAAACAAACACGTTTTCGGGTGATTGGCAGGTGCTCTGGTATTATTTGCTCCTTCTTTCCTATCAAATATCTATCGTTTTTATCACTCCCCTGTCTTTGTGTTTGTTATTCTCTTACAACACCTCTAATCTCCGACACTTTCAATGACCTTATTGTGTTGCAAGTACCGTAAAACTCTTTCTAAACCTAAAACGTGTTTGATTTCGAAGGCCACAGTCGAACTGGGTCGATCTCGATTGTATCATGCCAAAATGATAACTTTTGCTCCCTCCTTGAATGGAAACGGGAAAATGTGGCTGACCTCCGACTCAATCTGATGGATGACTGGATTGGCTGTCAGTGTGCACTAGGCGTAACGGTGCTGGAATAAGGAAGGCAGGGAGTGCGAACGCTGTTTGTGATTGACGTAGTGTGTCAGAGGTCAGGCCAGCGATCATCTACACGACATTCTGTAACACATGGAGTGCTCTGTGGAAATAATATGCAAGATTTCTGATAATTTTGTCATTTTGTCATTTGCTCGAGGAGCCGAAGAACCCAGAATAACTAGTTATTTGTTTGTTTTCAGACGTTTGTGTGTGTATGGGGGGGATGTTTGTTTTGTTTGTGTGTGTGTGTGTGTGTGTGTGTGTGTGTGTGTGTGT